AGAGAGAGAGAAACATCAACAATGAGAATCATTGATCGGCTGCCTCCGAGCCTGCAATCCACCCGGGCATGTGCCCTGACCGGGAATCGAACCATGACCTCCTGGTTCCTAGGTCACTGCTCAGCCACTGAGCCATGCCAGCTGGGCTATAGCTTTTAAATTTAACAAGCAGAACCCAGAGTGTTTTATGGACAGCCATGACCCCATGGCCGAGCTGTGCCAGGGGTGGGGGCTCCTGGCCCTGGCCCCTGGGCGCCTGCGTGTCCAGCCTTGTTCAGGCCTGCCTGCCCGGGCTGTGGATGGTGCAGCCCCAGGTGGTCAGCCCCTGGGAGCGTGCGTGTCCTGACATTGAAAGCTTTTCCTTTTTCTTGTGGCTTCTTCTCAGCAACTTCTCAACGAGGAGAATCTACGGAAGCAGGAGGAGTCGGTGCAGAAGCAGGAGGCCATGAGGCGAGGTAGAGTGGTCAGCTCGCCGGGCGGTGGGGCCGTGTCCTCAGCGGCCTAGGAGGCTGTGGCCCGAGAACGGCTCGTGGGCAGGCGGGTGGGTCGGCCCCGCTTGAGGCACTTGGAGCCCCAGTGGGGCTTCCTGAGGCCGCGGTGGGTCTCTGCCTCTGAGCCGGCTTTAAAGCAGAAACTGAAACCCCAGGCTGGGCGTCCAGGGTTTGGTCTTCTTCTGCCCGGGCACCCAGGGTCTCACATGACTTACTCTCCCGTGAGAAGTGTCTGGGCCTCGGGTCTGAATTCCCGGCTCCTCTGTCGAGGACCTGCCCGCTGGAGGGCCAGGGACCCCAGGCCTGGGGCTGAGCGCGCTCCCTGCCTTCCGTGCAGCCACCGTGGAGCGGGAGATGGAGCTGCGGCACAAGAACGAGATGCTGCGGGTGGAGCGCCGCCAGACCATCCTGGAGTCCATCAGGTGAGGCCGCCCTGGCCCCGGGGCAGCCTGTGCTCGCAAGCTGACGAGGAGACTGCCTGTCAGGCCCTTGCTCGCTCTCTGGCCACGTGCACAGGCCTGGTCCCTCCTGCTCACACCAGTGCCTCCCCGACAGGACGGCTGGCACCCTGTTTGGCGAAGGATTCCGGGGCTTTGTGACCGACTGGGACAAGGTGACCGCCACGGTAAGCACCACTGCCTGGGCGCC